GCGTGAAATGATTAAACGGCAAGCAAGTCTTTATTTTTGCTACTATTTAATAAAATATATTTCGTTACAAATTCATTGATTCTCTGTGTATCAAATTCATGACGTTGAATTCGTAAAACGAAGATTGGTGAACCAAAAGGGCAACGGCTCGCACCGATAAGTTGTTTATATAGCCTTATCTATGATATAATATAATATAATAGTTCTTTATTTGACAAACCAGGCTGCACTGTAATTATCTTAGTTCCAACACTGAAATGATTATCTTTAAATGGAAAATTTTCAGCACTATCTGTCCTTTCTTCATCTTGCATGATGACATCATTATCTTGATTATCTTGTATGTTCTTACCTTCAAACTCCCTAAGTATCTGACGTTGTCTCTCTATAAATTCCTGCGGATCAGTTTTGCTGGATTCTCCAGCTGCCACCACGAGTTCTGTTTCAGCAGAGGTCATTGAATTTGTTCTTCTTAATTTCTTGACAGATTCCTTACTAGTACCTAACAAAAACATACAAAAAAACTCTACTTTGTTTACCACACCAAAATGCTCTAAGTTAATTGTTATACACATTACATTGATTGGAGTACCCCTGGATACCTTTCCAATTTCATAAATTGTTTGTTAATAATGATTAATCTGTGCCAAACCATTCATACAAATAATTCCACCTGGAAAACACCTGAAAATTCAAAAAAGTACCCTCTAGGACTCCATGTCAGCATTAAAAGTGTCAGTGTTTTAAAATATCCAAGGTAAAAATCAAATGTTTCAGTATGATACAGTCTTTTTTTAATTGCTGGAACAACTTCTGAACATCTGAATTTTTAAAGGAAATTTGGTGAAAGAGATATCAGTTCACAGACTATTATTTTCTGCTTCACTAGGCATGGTGTGCTTGACTTAGTGAAACAAAAATTTAGACATTTATGAAACAACAATTACTTGTCTACCTGATGGTTTGACATAGTTCATTGATCTTGCACACATTTCATCTTCATGAATTTGCCCCCACTTTCCCCGAGCTTCTTGTTTTTCAGGTTTTTCAGGATTCTCATCAAAGTCCTTCTCTGGTATGACACTTTCTACAGGTACAAATGCTGCATGGCCTGGCATGCATATAAACAAAAGATGGCCAAGTCTTTTACCACAACCAGCTCCTATTCTTTCATCCTTATAGAAGATAAAAAGTTGTAAAACAAGAGACAAGAAATAAAGTGGTTTACTGAGTGACTCTTTTTTATTTCATCAATTGATTGCAATTTATCTACATATCCTCCAGTTATAACTATTTTTGCAGGAACTACACTTGAAGATTAACTCTTTAACTCAAAGTGTCACAAACAAGAAGGGACACAATGACCAAACGCTACAAATCACAGTTTCTGGGGAGTATGTTTTTTACATTTTTCTTAGCCAGTTGTTAGTTTGTTGATAATTTCAAAACTAAAGAAAAGAGTGGCTGTATTCAAGCTCCAGTCCTGTTTAAAATTAAAATATTTGCAAACATGCAAGTGGCCATCGTGTCATGAAGCCACTTGTCAAGTGCTTTGTCCTTCACTACTTTTTAACACACATGAATTTTTTTCAGGTCTGATTTTCACTATTGCTCAAATAGTGCTTTACTGCGAAGGATCGTTCACATATACGACACATGAATTTAATAGTTTCCTCAAATCCTGAAAAGGCTCTTCAAGTGTCTCCCTTCCTAATCCTGGATTCTAAATTAAGCTTTGATTCAAGACTGTCAAGTTTGTTTTGAGCAGTATTGTACATCCACAACAAGTACATTTCAGTCCAAAACTTACGTTACCTACCATTTCTAGTCCTACAATTATGTAAACATTTCCAGTTGAATCCTTCTCCTCACCAATATATCGCACAGTTCCTCTGGCTGGATTATCATTCATAAATGTCACAACTCTTTCATCAATCTTAAGCACTCCCTTAATTTCTTCAAATGACCTTTGCTTGTGTGTTCCCTTCCAAAATGACCATATTGAATCCTTAAGACGTGTTTTAAGACTGGTTTGTGTATTTTCATCTTTCTTTGCAACTTTTTGGGATTTTAAATCTTCTTCATCTTCTCGGGGTGTCAATTTATCCAGTCCAACAAAAACACCAGAGTCTGGTGCACAGGTAAAGAGTTTCTTGTTTCTAAATGTTCCATTACATGTTCCTGACCCAGGATTTTTCTAGATATGTCAAAACACAGATCATAATCATAAATATTGAAGATAATTGTAATCTTTATGACTTTCATCATTATTATCATTATCATGGTTGCTTTNAATAGTTTCCTCAAATCCTGAAAAGGCTCTTCAAGTGTCTCCCTTCCTAATCCTGGATTCTAAATTAAGCTTTGATTCAAGACTGTCAAGTTTGTTTTGAGCAGTATTGTACATCCACAACAAGTACATTTCAGTCCAAAACTTACGTTACCTACCATTTCTAGTCCTACAATTATGTAAACATTTCCAGTTGAATCCTTCTCCTCACCAATATATCGCACAGTTCCTCTGGCTGGATTATCATTCATAAATGTCACAACTCTTTCATCAATCTTAAGCACTCCCTTAATTTCTTTAAATGACCTTTGCTTGTGTGTTCCCTTCCAAAATGACCATATTGAATCCTTAAGACGTGTTTTAAGACTGGTTTGTGTATTTTCATCTTTCTTTGCAACTTTTTGGGATTTTAAATCTTCTTCATCTTCTCGGGGTGTCAATTTATCCAGTCCAACAAAAACACCAGAGTCTGGTGCACAGGTAAAGTATTTCTTGTTTCTAAATGTTCCAGTACATGTTCCTGACCCAGGATTTTTCTAGATATGTCAAACCACAGATCATAATCATAAATATTGAAGATAATCGTAATCTTTATGACTTTCATCATTATCATTATTATCATTATCATGGTTGCCTTCATAATCAATGAAAATTTTATTCCCTATCAATTCCTCAGTATCCAGAATTTCCTTTAAACTACACGTAACTGCTTCTTGCTGATAATCAATTTACAAAACTTCATAGTGCAGTGCTGATATTATACTTTCCAGGGGGGTATAAAGAAGAAAATTGTCTATACCTTTAAATTCAACCTAACACTCACCTGTTTGGGTCACAAAATTTGCCTTTTGAAACTAAGAGAAGTTGTTGTTCAAACTGGTACCATAGTTGTTTAAGTAGATACAAATTGTTTGCAACTCAATGTCACACCCCCTTCAAACAAGTGGAGATTTTAGCTGAATAGGTTCCAAAACAGTTCAAATAACTGTTCGAGCTGCTTCAGTAGACATTTAAGCTTTTGGAGAAGATAATTATGCTCATTCAAACTGCTACTTTGAATTATTTAGAATCTGCAAGCAAACAGAATTCTGTTTGAAATCTAAAACTTGTGGTTGTGTGATTTCTTATGACAGGCAACAAATGTCACCTCAGGAAAGTGACAAGGTTATCTTTCACAAAACTAGTTTCATGGATTGCTGTGTTACTTAAAAATGTCAAAAGTACACAAAATTAGGAATTTTTGTTAGTGAAGTGATGTCATACTTTCTTTGGTTTGACAAGCTGAATCTCCCAGAAAGGTCATAAATGAAAGGTTAAGTGGAAGAACCATGGCTCTTTGCTATTTTGATTAATTTGTAAAATTCCCAGCTATCTCTTCCAATAAAGATGGAAGATAGCTTAAAAAATTTACTACACAGCAGAATGACAGTATCTGAGCTATTTGGCAAAACTAATCGCAATAACACTTTTCTTTTTGGTTGTTTGTTCTCCATGAACAGTAGCACCATTTCCTATTTAAAACTTACTACTCACCCAGACAAACCCAAAAAGTTTCAACAACAAATAATGACGGTTTGACACTAATCTGAGTGTAAGTTCTACAAAGGAATCAACAACATTGTTTACCGTTAAGTTCTAAACGCGGGAAAGGAAGCCCATATCATGGGAAATAGTCCACACTGGTATATCAAGAGGAGTGCATTATCAAACAATAAGCAGGCGCTTCAAAACTTATAAATCTAAAACGAAAGCGAAACCGAATTAGTGTGAATAAAGCATTTAAATCTTCCCTGTAGTATAAGAGTCTTCTAGGAAGGTAGACATCGGAGTCAAGATTCCAGGAGTTGAAATTAACCTCACTAAGTCTGGGCAGGTTGACTGAAATACTCACGAGACGAAAAAAAAAGCTTAACTCGGTGTAACATGGTACGTTCATGATAATTTCGCACAGTCTTTGGCTGGGTTGCTGTATGTAGGAAATTCTACACAATGTAAATTGTTACAGCCAGCGACACGACTCAACTAATACACGCGATTACTTACTATGAGTTCAACTCCAAACCAAGTTCCCAGACTGGGTGGTAATTCACCTTTGTACCTAACAACACCAGGCAAAACCTTCAAGAATCCTTTCACTTTAACGAAAACAGCACTTCCGTCTACCAGTTGTCGGCCAGATGCCAGACGTCTCTTAGCTATGTACGTTTGGTATCTTCCTTCAGATGAAGTAATTGCTAAAAGCAAGTTGGTTTCTTCCTCAGATAGTCGAGTCACATCCTCCTTAGGACATTTAAGACGTAATGATTTACGTTCAATTCCGACAACAGCTACTTTAGTGAAGTCTGTAGGCTGTTCAACCTCAGGAGCACCTTCAAACAACTCGCCTCTTAAAATTTGTATTGGTGTAGACTTCGTCGTAAGGCCTTGTGACAACATGTTTTTTTCCACAGCTTGTCCAACACGATCACGTAGAAGAATGTACTTAATTCTGGGTTCCTCCATTTCGTGCCGAGGACACAGCAACGAAGATGTCACCTTTACTGTAAACAAACCTTGCATTGATCGTGATGAATCGAGAGGAAGAACGCCATCTTTCTGGGAATTTCCCTAGCCTCGACCTTATGAAGAATAGGTACGAGCTATTTTTCAAACATAACATTACGTCATCTTTCTAAAAAAGGTTGGACCCAACTTGCCACATGCCCCCTCATGACAAGCGGTTTGATCAGGTTTGTACCTGATTTCGATTTCTAAAGAACACCTCTTGATCATTCTACGCAAATACGTCAACTGATTATTAAAAGTGAGTTCATTTTGAAAATAGCAATTGCTAAAAAAGAGTTGCATTTTTAACTGAGTCAAAGCCAAAGATCAAACTGGTGGGTGGATGGGAGAACCAGCACGTCACAGCTAAGTTGTCTTTATTCTGCGGCATCACCATTATCTTCAAATTATCAAATCAGGTCACAGATATTTCAAACGTTTTCATTTTCCAAAGATGTTACATTTTTCGCATGTTCAAGCCTGCTCTATG